GGGGTACAAAATTCCCTTTAAAATATCTTTTTTGTTAAATGTACGATAAAACATAAAAACAGTTTTTTCCCACAAAATGTCCTTGTAAAATAGGGCGCATTTCATGCGAAGGTGCATCTTTTACACCGGCAATTACAGTAATATAATAGGAAAATTAAAGAAAACTTAACAAAAGTCTAACTAAATTCAACTCAATAACTAGAAATATTATAAAAAATGACGACTACTGTATTAGGGTCTTGATATGATTAGTCCCCAGTGGAGCATTTAAATTCAAGAACAGTTGGAATCCAGCATTTTACAGGTTTTCAAATTTTCCAGTTTTGTTATTATTTACAAGAATGCTATCCTAACATTGACTAACCTTATCCGATAAAAGTTTTGAATGTTATTTAACAGGAGTTATGTGAAAAAGTTCAAATTTTGAACACTCCACTGTATGATATGGGGTAAACAAACTCCATTCCTGCAATATTGGACAAACTACATAACGAACAATAAGATATAAACATTATATTAATTAACCCTTTGAATGCCGCACGATCTTACTTAACTTTGTATATAGAAACAATAACATTTTTAAAATGTTATCAGAGATAATAAAAAATCTAATATATTTTGATATGCAGCATCACCTCCTACTTTGGCACCCCCAAAAAAATATTAATTGTAAAGTCAATTAAGGTTCATTCACAGTACTGTATTGTATTTCTAGGTTATTTTATACTGTACTATATATTTATCATAAAGTTATAAAAATCAAATTCCATGTTTTTTATGAAGTAAATGCACAATTTACAATTAAGTGAATTTTGTATTGTGTATAAGTGTACAATTAAGTGAATTAAGTATTGCACATTGGCAACCTCCTGCATGAACCACCCACTTCAAAAAATCCTTTTAAACATCAAAATTACAGCCACATTGTCAGTTAGAAAAAGACCACATCCAATGGAAAGGAATCATTGCCACATAACTTATGCTTTTATTAATGTGAAATAAAATGATTCCAATGAAAACTGTCACCAGAAATAATCCAAACACTCTTGACTGCTCACATAATAGAAATCTCAACACCTGAGTGTTGGAGGCATGCAATGGGTTAAGGTGTACAGAGAATATAAACGGGTTAGAAACAAAATTCACGACGTAACCAGGATAGAGGAACTGGTAAGGATGCTTGACATACAATAACAACAAATTAACGCAAGGAATTGGCCAATTCGGGAAATTCTAACACAAAGTCAACATGTGCCGTCACATGGGTGGGACAGCGTGTCCTTAACACATGCAGCTAAAGTTTACCTTCGAAGCGGGCTGACTATTGAGGCAGATGCTGGCCTCACGCGTAATCTGAATGGACTGGAGGCCAGAAGAGACTAAGAAATTATCTTGGCATTAATGGATTCCTACTGCTCTAGACCACAGTTAATAATTGTGTTAAAATTTGTCAAACTTTCATTAATAAAATAAAAAGATATTTTACCAGAAAATCCACAAAAATTAAAAGATTTAAATGAAACCATAAAATAATTAAAACTATTGTGCTATTAATTATTAAAATCTTGGTCAATATTCCACACTGACAAAAATGTTATTATCTAAAGAAGCAATTATATTTTTATGTAAGATAAATACTAGACCATATAGAGAATGGAACAGTGAATCCCTCAAAATATATTTAGAAATAAAACATTTACTCAGGAAGTTTCTTTAAACTAATAACCAAATATGCAGAGAAACACTAAATTTTGTTATTAAAGATAACACTTTTTGTTCAGCCTAAGGGCTGTATCAAACCAATGGTGTCTACATGTGCCATTACAACTGCACTGAGCTCTACCAATATTTATCACCACTTCAATTGTAAGCTATTGGGGGCTCTTGGTGGTTGAGTAGGGGCCTGGTGGCTGAATGAACAGCGCTCGGGACTCATAATCCTAGGGACGGGATTGATCCCCGGCAATGGCAGAAACAAATGGGCAGTTTCTTTCACCCAAATGCCCCTGTTACCTAGCAGTAAATACATACCTAGGAGTTAGACAGCTGCTACAGGCTGCTTCCTGTGTAATTACCTAAGTGTAGTTACAGGATGAGAGCTATGCTTGTGGTTTCCCAGCACTCTTTGTCATATAACGCTTTGAAACTACTGACGGTTTTGGCCTCCACCACCTTCTCACCTAACTTGTTTCAACCGTCTACCACTCTGTTTGCGAAAGTGAATTGCCTTATATTTCTTCAGATTCTTTGTTTAGTTAGTTTAAATCTATGACCTCTTGTTCTTGAAGTTCCGGGTCTCAGGAATTCTTCCCTATTAATCTTATCAATTCCTGTTACCATTTTGTATGTAGTGATCATATCACCTCTTTTTCTTCTGTCTTCTAGTTTTGGCATATTTAATACCTCTAACCTCTCCTTGTAGCTCTTGCCCTTCAGTTCAGGGAGCCACTTAGTAGCTTGTCTTTGCACCTTTTCCATATTGTTGATGTGCTTCTTAAGATATGGGCACCTCACAATTACTGCATATTCTAGCTTTGGCCTAACAAAAGTCGTGAACAATTTCTTTAGTATTTCTCCATCCATGTATTTAAAAGCAATTCTGAAGTTAGAAAGTGTAGCATAGGCTCCTTGCACAATGTTCTTAATGTGGTCCTCAGGTGACAGTTTTCTATTTAGAACCACCCCTAGACCTCTTTCTTTATCAGACTACTTTTTTTACGATTCCTCACATAATTTGCAGGTTGTGTGGGGTGTTGTGTGGGGTCTATGTTCTCTAATTCCACATTCCATAACATGGCATTTATTCACATTATATTCCATTTGCCAAGTGGTGCTTCATATACTTATTTTGTCCAGGTTTTCTTGAAGGGCATGACAATCATCTAGGTTTCTTATTTTCCCTATTATCTTAGCATCATCAGCAAACATGTTCATATAATTCTGTATTTCATGTGGTAGATCATTTATGTAGACAATGAACATTACCAGTGCAAGCAACTGAACCCTGTGGTACTCCACTTGCAACATTCTTCCAATCCGATACAATGCCTCTGATTATGGCCCTCATTTTTCTATCATTTAGGAAATTTTTCATCCATGTTAGAGGCTTACCTGTCACCCCTCGAATATGTTCTAGTTTCCAGAACAACCTCTTATGTGGAACACTGCCAAAAGCCCTTTTTAGGTCCAGATAGATGCAGTCAACCCAACCATCTCTTTCTCTGTGGCTCGATCATAGAAACGTGAGTAAATTCAATACACAGGATCTTCCAGATCGAAAACCATACTGTCTGTCTGATACTATATTGTTTTTCTTCAGGTGTTCTACCTACTTAATTTTAATTATTTTTCCAAATATTTTGACCATTACACTTGTCAATGATACCGGTCTATAATTGAGGGGGTCTTCCCTGCTGCCACTTTTGTAGATTGGAACTATGTTAGCCTTTTTCCACACATCTGCTACGATTCCTGTACACAGGGATGCCTTAAAAATCAGTTGAAGTGGAATTGCTGAGCTCAGGTGCACATTCTCTCAGAACCCATGATGAAACTCCATCTGGACCAACTGCTTAATTCTTTCTTAGCTCCTTGAGCATTTTTTCCACTTCGTCTCTAGAAACTTCTATGTACTCCATGTTGTTCTCTGGAATTCTTATTGTGTCTGGTTCCCTGAAGATTTCATTTTGTACAAACACACTTTAGAACTTTTCGTTTAATGTTTCACACATTTCCTTTTATTTTCTGTAAATCTATTTCCCATTTTCAATCTCTGAATATTATCCTTTACCTGCAATTTCTTGTTTATGAATTTATATAATAGACCTGGTTCTGTTTTACATTTGTCCACAATCCCTTTTTCAAAATTTCTTTCTGCCTCTCTCCTCACGGCCAATAGTCGTTTCTCACATCTTTGTATCGCTGGTATGTTTGGGGGTTTGGCCTCTTCCTATATTGATTCCATTTTGTGTCTTTTGGTCTGTGTGGTCACTTCAAAAAAAAAATAATCAATTGATTGATTGACAGTTGAGAGGTGGGCCGAAAGAGCCAGAGCTCAACCCCGCAAGCACAACTAGGTGAATACATGTTTTATAATTTGTTTAAAAATGTCAGTTTGATTTACACTGCTATACACCTGCTCTGTCCAGCCAGCATTGTAACACTATGTATAAGTCATTATAAATAAAATTTACTAATCTAATCTAATTCTTTGATTCTTTTACTACTAACAAGTTACTAGTGTCCATGAGAAGTTCAGTATGTATTAACTAACTTATATTGCATGCATAAATGTTGTCCTTTATATGTATCATTTTTATGCAATGAATTATTTTAAAAATGTGTAAACGGTGTAGTTTTAGTGAGACATTTATGCGATATTTTCCTGTTCAGGTTAATGTCCCGTTAAAAATGTTGCATAATAACACTTCAAAACACTTTTAGTGGTATACAAAATGCTGCACCCCAGGAAAAGCTTTATAAACAATGTAAAAAAGTTTAATGACAAACAAGTTTCTTTTAGCAAATACATGTGGTTATTTATCAAGAAAACACACAAGATTTATTTATTAAGAGTGAAATAAAGAACAATATCTAATATTGTCGCATTTAGACGTATTGTATACTCTAAGGCCACAAAGTGTCATACAGTACTAGAAAATGGTAGTGGCTCATTAAACTGACATACTGTCCTGTTTTCTGTTTTGAGTCTTCTGGTAGGTTAGCATAGGGCACTTTAGTACCACAGTTTCTTGGCGTTGGGAAACCTTAGGAGGACGAGCTGTACACCTACCACAAACCACCAACTTTCATATCCTAGTATTAAATTGCTATTAAAATTAAATACAGGTCATCACAAACAATTATTGAGAACAGCCTTTACACATAAAATAACACAAACTCTAATCTTTAAATATTTTTCTAACCTTCTTATTATTTTCTTACATTATCACTGTTAAGGTAAGTTAGTCCAACTAAGATTGACTTGGTCTAATGCTTACCTTCCAGGAACTGGCTTTCCTCCCCACGTGATATTGGCAGTCTGCATGGTGCCCTCAGCATGAGGAACGTAAGTCACATCATAAGTGCCATCACCATTATCTCGGATATCTGGGCTCTTGGGCAAAGAACCTGAAAAATACATATAAGTTTTAAAATCTAGAATTTAGATTTGATTCAGAGACTCTTTTGGCTGCAATAATTATGATGGCCCAAATATAACACATGCATGAGTGGTAAAATATCTACAAAGAATACAGTAATGTCTATGATGTGTTTGTCATATTTCTAGCTTATGACTAACAACTGTCCCTAACTTTACATTTACTGAGATATTTTAAGATGCTGCATATAGAAAATTAATGCAGTGAAACTGCCTAGCCTTCATATCTTTCTTGAATGGGTGATCACATAACGTATTCCACCCGTTTTCCCCTCGCAATATTTAACTTGGCACGATCTTCCAGATCCTATCATTAGCATTATAGTGTTACTGCTAATTTTATGTATGCAATACAGTATTGCATTTTTTTAATCTTTAAAATAAATTAGACATTTCCCTTTTCACTAAAACTACATTAATGAGTGAAATACATGTAGTCAAAATAACTACCTTGGTCCTCACTTTAAGAACACCTCATTTATGAATATTCAGTCATTCATGGAGTCTCAAAATAAAAAATTTAGCCCTATGTCCTGCTATACAAACTGCACAAACATTATGAATAGTTCTGAAAGAGCACTATTTCAGCTGTTTATCGAGGAGGAAGAGTGCCTCAATAATGGATGATAAGTGAAGGGTATTAGTGGTGCATCAGTTCCCATGAATCCTCATCTTTTATTATCTCCTTTAGTATATATATATATGTTGTTAAATATGACCGAAAAGGTTAGATTAATAATTCTAACACGAATTTTCTCAATATTTCTTATGTTTCTTTTCACTGTCGATGGTAATTGAAAAATCAATTCTCCAAAATTCATTTTTACTTCTAGTCTGACGCGACGCCTTAACGCATTTCGTAATAACTTATTACATTTTCAAAGACTTTAATTTACACACACAACTGTAACTTGTAAACACGCAAAATACATCCATATTTATAATTGCATTTGTGTGAAGTGATATGGTACAAACGTTCTGGGTGAGGCGATTGACATTTGCACATGATAGAACATGAACCAATGGGTATAAAAACATAAGAACGAAAGTAACTGCAGAAGGCCTATTGGCCCATACTTCCTCTTGATGCTTCTATATTGGTTTAGATTCTTGAAGTGGGTAGAATATAGTTGTGCATTAATTGGCTGTTCATTGCTGATATTGACCTTTTGATGTGTAGTGCCTCGCAGATGTCGAGCCTCCTGCTATCGCTGTATCTATCAATGATTTCTGTGTTGTTTGTTAAGATTTCTCTGGTGATGGTCTGGTTGTGAGAAGAGCTTATATGTTCCTTAATGGAGCCCTGTTGTTTATGCATTGTTTCCAGACATTCTAAACCTTTCCAGACATTCTATAAAAAGCAAGAGTAACCCCTGTCCACAAATGTGGTGATCACGCAGATGTTAGCAACTACAGACCTATATCAATCCTGCCTAACTTGTCAAAAATATTCGAAAAACTAATCTACAAGCAGCTTTACTCTTTTCTAGCCAAACACAATATACTTAGCTCTTGTCAATATGGCTTCAGACCCAAAAAAAGCACTAACGATGCACTTATTAGTATGATTAACTTGATTCACGCAGCTCTTGATAAAAAGGAGTTCCCTGTTGGGTTATTTGTGGACCTGCGTAAGGCTTTTGACACTGTCAACCACCGAAACCTTCTTCTTAAATTACATCATTATGGTGTCAGAGGACACTCCCTGCAATACCTCAAATCTTATCTTACTGACAGGCTCCAGTATGTTTCTGTGAATAATACAATTTCTCCCACCCTACCCATCAACATTGGTGTTCCTCAGGGCAGCATACTTGGCCCTCTCCTCTTTCTCATCTACATTAATGACCTTCCAAATGCCTCCCAACACCTCAAACCAATTCTATTTGCTGACGACACAACCTTCATTTACTCCAGTCCTGACCCCCTTGCTCTAAATGCCACAGTAAATACTGAGCTAGAGAAAGTCCATCTTTGGCTAACTGCCAACAAACTCACCCTTAACATTGACAAAACGTTTTATATTCTGTTTGGCAATAAATCCTCTAATCATATAAATCTCAAAATAAACAATACCCAAATTTGTAACAAATTAGATGGCAAATTCCTTGGCGTTCTCATCGACCACAAGCTGAATTTCCAGGGACACATTCTAAATATATCAAAAAAAGTTTCAAAAACTGTTGGCATTCTTTCTAAGATCAGATATTATGTACCCCGCCCTGCCCTGGTGACTCTCTATTACTCCCTCATCTATCCATATCTCAACTATGGTATTTGTGCTTGGGGTTCTACTACCCAAAATCATTTATGTCCTCTAATTACTCAACACAAAGCTGCTATTAGGACAATATCCAACTCTAGCCCCAGACATCACTCGGTACCCCTACTCAAATCTCTGAATATGTTAGATATTAAGTCATTGCACATTCTCTCATGTGTATTATACATATATAAAACGCTGAACTGTAATTCCAATCCTGACCTCAAAAGATTCATTGAAGGTTGTAACAGAACCCATGAGCACCACACCAGAAATAAATACAGTTTTGATATTCCTAGAGTACGACTTAATCATACTAGAAATGCTCTTCAAATCAAGGGACCCAGAATGTGGAATGATCTTCCCAACCATGATAAAGACAGTACCTCTCTCAACCAGTTTAAGATAAAAAACAAAGCACTACCTAATAAATTCCCTGTAACCTACCTTACCCCTCTGTTGTCAACCCATGTATGTTTTTTTTTTTTTTTTCAAAACAACGCTGTTTGAATGTAATTTTCTGTAATAATTTGTAATTGTATTTGTGCTGCTTTTTCAACCATGTTCCCCCCTCTTTTACCTCTATTTTTATTTGTTCTCAACGCATTTTATTCTTTTTACCCATTAGTTTTAAGCTTTAGTCATTAATGTTTTTCCTGCCCGAAACGCTTTGCATAATAGTGGCTTTAGGCATTGTATGTACTAGCTCTATCTATTAACCCAACAAACTTTGTAAAATCTCTTTATGTATGTACCTTACCTAAATAAACATTTATTTATTTATTATTTATTTATTTATTGTTAATTGCCTGGAAAGAGACGTTGTTGTCTTGCTTATATACTGAGTTCTTTGGAGCTTACAGTCCCCCACGTGGACATTTGAAGGCATAGACGACGTTGGTTTCCTTCAAGGCATTCTGCTTGGTGTCTTGGAGAGTTTTTCATGAGTAGGTTGGCCGTTTCTTTGGTTTTATAGTAAATCGTCAATTGTATTTTCTGATTTTTGTCTGTAGGGATAACGTTCCTATCAACAATACTTCAGAGGTTGCATGGCGTTTTGCCTTTCTTTTTATGATGTCTTCAACAAAACAAAAATCTTTGTTCTTCAAAAACCATCAAACTAGGCAAACAGGGCAATTCCATAATTTTATGTAAGTAAACAGCAGTATTTCTTATAATGTGTCCCTAAAATTTTGGATATATATGTTGATTTTTGATGATCCAAAAACATATCCCCATATATAACATTGTTCCTATGGGGAATCTGATTCCGTTCATAAGCTAAGGACTGCCTGTACTGTATGTATAAAAAGCCATAGTTGTCATATAAAAACTGACCTTTGTCTGTGGTGATATCCACTCCTAAGGGTGCCTTGCCAGACTTGGATCCATCAACGTGGAAAGTGAGAGGCACACCTGCTCGTACCTTGCCCGGCTCCAGTCCAGAGCCCCACACCACCACCTGTGATGCATCCACACTCTGGTCCACAGACACCTGACAAATTGCATTTCAATGTTAATTAAAATATATCATTAAATAATAAAATGTTAACATTTAAAGAGTACAGGTATAGCAGTAATAGGACTGAGGGTAAAGGTCTACCAAGATGCGTTTAAAATGATATTCAAAACACTTGAGACAATTTACAATAAAATGATGTCATAAACGTAGACAAGACTCCTCAATCCCCACAGTTCACGCTCCAGTAAAATTTTTCTTGGCACTTTTGAAACTTTAGTTTTGTAAACAAGGAGTTCTTCACTTATGATATTCAAATTTTCTCCAGGTGACCAAAATACCTTTCCCCAATAATGGGATGTTTCACCAAGTCTGTGGCAGTTCAATATGTGATGCCCTTGTGTTGATGAAAGTGAACCATGACCCTCCATGGAAGCATCTACCCCACCAAGACTCACAAATATACCCACACTCGCACATCTCTTTATGATAGCCATATTACAATTATTTACTTCTTCAATTCCAGTGGAAGTGTGCAGAAAAAAGGATTAATAAAAAGTCCCTGACCAATTTCAGATGTTATCCTGCATCAGTATTTCCTGATTCATTGGTCCAATAGAGTAGCAGCTGGATAATGCTATGAAGGAGTGGTATTACCAGTTGAGTGTGAAATAATGATGTGGCATGAACATAAGAGACAAGAGTTAGAGCTCTAGAAATGGACTGTCTGAGGTATATTTGTGGTGTTAGGAACATAACTCATGTAAGAAATAAAAATGTAAGGGAAAGATTTGGAATATAAAGTTCAGCAAATTATAAAATTGACTAGAATTTATTTTTGATTGAGATCGTTTGATCATGTTGAATGAATAAAAACAGAGTGATTAAGAGAATTTATTTGAGTGAACCTGAAGATTGGAGAGGGATGCCAGGAAGAAGATGGAAAGACATGGTGATTGAGTGAGTGAGGACGCAGGGAGTGAGTGTGAACAACACACAACAAGTGGCAGCGAATAATAAAGTGGAATCACTTTGTTTAGAGCATAAATGTTTGACATATTTTTCTTTCCTTTTTCTTTCAGAGTGATGCCATCACACTTCCTGAAAGTAGAAAACAAGGAAGTAAAGGCAATGATGGTGATGGAGATGATGGTGATGGTGTTGATGATGATGATGATGATGATGATGATGATGATGGTGGTGGTAGTGGCAATGGTGATGATAATGATGATAGTGAATTCTTCCTTTTTAATGATATTCTCCCATATTAACCTTGAATGGGGATCCTGGAATGTGTTGGTCAGCAAACTTGATGGACACATCATAGTCGCCAGACTCCAGAGGCACGTACTCCACTGTGCACGACCCATCTCGATTATCCTTACATGTCATTTTGGCTTCAGATGGACCCTCAACAGCTAAGCCGAGCCCACCGGTGCCAGCACCTACAGTGGCAACAGATAAGAAGCAAATCATTATACAGTATTAAATACATGCATGGTAATTTATTGATCTAATAGTCATCATACATTGTGTAAAAGAAAACATTTCTTTCACAAGAAAAAATAATATGCTGGATGTTTGCCAAATTTTTTACTAAAAAAAAAAGATTTGCAACATTTTACTGCATTCCAAAACAAATTGGCTTACCAAATACTACTACTACTACTATTAATACTTCTACTACTACTACTATTACTACCACTTCTACTACTATTACTACTACTTCTATTACTACTACTACTATTACTACTACCACTATTAATACTTCTACTACTATTACTACTACTTCTACTACCACTACTATTACTACTATGTCTACTACTACTATTATTACTACTACTTCTACTACTACTACTACTTCTACAACTATTATTACTACTACTTCTACTACTATTATTACTACTACTACTACTACTACTACTACTACTACTACTACTACTACTACTACTACTACTACTACTATTATTACTGCTACTACTACTACAACTACTACTATTATTACTACTACTTTTACTACTACTACTACTACTACTTCTACTACTACTACTATTACTACCACTTCTACTACTATTACTACTACTTCTATTACTACTACTACTACTACTACTACTACTTCTACTACTACTACTACTTCTACTACTATTATTACTGCTACTACTACTACTACTACTTCTACTACTACTACTTCTACTACTATTATTACTACTACTTCTACTACTATTATTACTACTACTTCTACTACTATTATTACTACTACTTCTACTACTACTACTACTACTACTACTACTACTTCTACTACTATTATTACTACTACTTCTACTACTACTACTACTACTACTACTACTACTTCTACTACTATTATTACTACTACTTCTACTACTACTTCTACTACTATTATTACTACTACTTCTACTACTATTATTGCTACTACTTCTACTACTACTTCTACTACTACTACTACTACTACTACTACTACTACTACTTCTACTACTATTATTACTACTACTTCTACTACTATTATTACTACTACTACTACTACTACTACTTCTACTACTATTATTACTACTACTTCTACTACTATTATTACTACTACTACTACTACTACTACTACTACTACTACTACTACTACTACTACTACTACTACTATTATTACTACTACTACTACTACTACTACTTCTACTACTATTATTACTACTACTACTACTACTACTATTATTACTACTACTTCTACTACTACTACTACTTCTATTATTACTACTACTTCTACTACTACTACTACTATTATTACTACTACTTCTACTACTATTATTACTACTACTTCTACTACTACTAATAGTGTGAATAATCACACTAGCATGATGTGTCAATGAGAAAATCCATAGGAGCCGTGATGAAGGTTTGAACCTATACGGCGGGTGTTCCCACACACACGACCTAGTCAACTAGGCCACAACAGGGTCAAAAGGATTTCAACCTAGAGTTCTACTGAACACACAAGGTAGTGTTCAAAATTGTAGTGCTTTTAAAATGGTAATCTAACCTACAGACATAAATACATAGATACACAGAGTTATGTCTGCCTTAGTATTGAAAGAGGAGCATCAGAGGTAAAACATTCCTGGATGATAGAGCCAGAGTAGAGTACATGGGGGGGGGGGATTGTGTGAAAATTCTGGTCAGGCTTCAGTGGAAGCTTCAGGAAACCCTTGTGTGTTCAGTAGAACTCCAGGTTGAAATTCTTTTGACCCTGTCGTTGTCTAGTTGACTAGGTCGTGTGTGGGAACACCCACTACATAGGTTCAAACCTTCAACACGGCTTCTATGGATTTTCTCATTACTAATACTAATACTACTACTGTACTACTACCCTAATACTAATACGTACTACTAATACTACTACCACTAATAATAATAATAGTAATTGTTATTTAAAAAATAAACAGAATACCAAACATTGGTTGAATAGTTACATAAAATGCATATTTAATAAGTTCACTAGTATGCAAAGCATTTTGGGCATAATGTCAAATAATTCAGTTATATTATTGAATAATTTAATAAGGTAAATACTTAACACAAGGAGCCATGGCTTCAGGCTCAACATGCCACAATGTAAGGCAGAAAAGAGAAGATGCCTTTTCCCACACTGTTATAAGGGTCTTGGTAGTACAGATGGTTTTGTTCTCTACTCACAATCGGGAATCTCTGGTTTGAATTCTGGGTGGGCCAAAAGTGGTTGGGTCCATTTCCTTTCACCCTAATGCCTCTGTTTGCCAAGTAGTATATAGGTACCCAGGAATTGGTCAAATGTTGTGGGGTTGCATCCTGGGAAGGGTCAGTAGTTCGCCCTTGAGGGAGATCTCGATACAAGCCTAACATGTATACTGTACTGTATATATATAAATACATAAGCTGTCTGTGTCCCAACTAAATGAATTAAATCCATGGAACTGTCTACCATCCAAAGCCGTAAATGCCAAGACATTGCTACAGTTCAAAATCCAGCTAGATAAACTCATCAGGAAAAATGGAGAGACCTTTGACAAGCTACCGGCTTCCTGTTCCCATTGAGATGACAAGAGAAATGCTGGCCCCTCATGTAAATTCAGGTAATTCCAGTATCATATATGAATTGTTAAAGCAATCAAATGCTATACAATATCTAGATGATAATGGTGAGAGGCAAAGAATATTTAGTATTTAAAATTTATAAGAACAGCAAAACACAAATTTGTATTTTATTTTAGATGATATAATTGTTTACAGAATGTTAATTGTATATTTCTTAGTTTTTTAAAACTGGTTGAGAGAAGTATAGCTATTTTCTCATAATAAATAACATAAAGACTGAGAGTAAGAAACAGGAAAGATTCCTAATCCTGTACACCGACAACAACTCCACTTGAGCACTTCAATATAACACTGCACCATCCCCACCACATACAGTATATCCAGGTGCTTCACCTTCCTACCTTCACTCTTCCTCTCTGTATCATGTATTATCTACAGTATAAAATGACCACCTTCCCTCCTGGTGCAGCCATTATGAAGTCACAGACCCTTATTTTATTTAGTTAAAATTCCTACTGCTTGTTGCAGTAGCAGAAAATGCTACTGCAGTTGCATTTTCTACTGTTCCATCCATCATGTAATTATTATCATTCTCTTTTCCTTTTTTTTCTTTTTTCAAATCAATTTATGCTTTTGATCTCAATTAGTATTGAGTTTTAGTAAAGTTTTACACCATCACTGGTATAACATCTCATTATCCCCAATTTTCCTTAGTAAAAATTTTATGCTCTTATTACCACAAAGGAATCATAATTTTCTTGCCAATATAACAACAACCATAATTTTATCTCCTAGTTTTAATTGTTTGGTCTAAGACTTACTGTTCTCCCGTACTTGTATAGACTACTTAATCTTTGCCAAATACTGTACTCTTTTATCAACCTGTCCTCTTAAAAATAACGTCGCTTTTGGCCGTTTGCCCGTACGGCTGAAAGTGGACGTAATTTGAAAATGAAAAAAATGAAAATAAATTTGAGATTTTTTTTTCAACAACTGTTAGTTAAGGGTCCTCTGGTAGGTTAGGTGAGCAGGAAATTTTCATAAAGTTTCAAAACGTTATGAAAACCGTTAATTGAAAGTTTCCTCTCCTAACCTTTCCGAGTAAGCCGGACGACTCAAACAGAAAACAGGACAGTACGTCACTTTCGTGAGCCGATTTCATTTCAAATTACGTCCACTTTTGGCCATAGCGCGCATACGAGCCAAAAGCGACGTTATTTTTAAGAGGACGGGTTGCTTTGATAACACAACTATTCTCTATATTTATGACTTGCGCAGAATGCTGTGCATACTAGAGGCTGTACACAAACATGGATAATGTTAACATTAGCCTTATAAATTATTTGTCATCCACAGCACATTCTAAAAGGAAATACTGATTGATACACTTACTAAGTAAGATACACTCACCTTCTATACTCATCTTTGTATACTTATTATTACCTTGCATGTTTATACCAGTGATGTTTCACTTGCATACTCAGGATTATCTAATACTGTATAATAATAATAATTCATTGTGTCAGGGGACAGGAAGCCAAATTGTATTCATACACATTAGAGTTTTATCAAGGTCCCCCTTCAAGGTCAATCTACTGACCCTGCCCAGGATGCAACCCCACAACAAGCTGACCAACTCCTGGGTACCTACTCACTGCTAGGTGAACAGTACCATTAGGTGAAAGGAACTATGCCCAATCATTTCTGTCTCACACGGGATTCGAACCTGGAATACTAAATTTTGCATCAAGAACAAACCCGACTGTATTACCAGGACCCTCTGGGTATATATAAGTAATATACTCATCATCATTACCTTTTGTTTCAACTGTAAATGTGTTGACTTCATTGACAAAGCCATGATCAAGCCCAGGACCAAATGCTTGACACTTGTTAGGGTCACAGCCCCTGCGAACGTTGACAGTGAAGGGGGAGCCTGGTACAGGAACACCATCGTACAGCAGATCAATGGTGTGACGACCTGGAAAAAATAATTACTGTGCAGTAATTTATTATAAAAAATTTTTGTTTGCAAAAAACAAAACTGCAAACAAAAAAATTCATGGTCAGTTTTAAAATTTGAGGTGGTTCTCCATGTAATTAGAGTATTAAAATGCAACTTCTAACAAATTAATTACTGTATTCTCATAATTATTTGTATTAATATTATTTTGATTATTAAAGTATGTATTATTATTATTGAAATTTCATCTCAGCTTCTGGTGTACAAAGGTAATTTAATGGTAAACACAATGACTTTATATGTCAGCAAATAGAAAGATTTTGAAGGTTATACAAAAATTTAAACTCTGGAGTACTTATCACTGTACATAGATCAATAATTGATGGAAAACAAAACAAAAGAGAACTCCCTAATTTATCTGCTAATACTTCAGAGTAGCGTTCCAGCAGTCACTGATACCTTAGTCCCGAAGTTGTGTGCAGTTTTACTTATTTATATAAACTTTGCTCTGTACAGTATTTCAAAACTTCCTCCATATCCAACTACTAGCTCATTTAAAATGGTCTACTATGAAATCATGCACAGGAAATGCACCATATTTACTATACAGAGAAGTGAGATAGGTACATCTGCATGAAATTTCAACTTTAATATATTTTAACTAATAAAACCCTCTGAGGTCATAGTTCTGTATACTTTTGAATATTACACATAAATATTGAATACTGTATAGCAAATATGTATGTGTAATTCACTGATAATACAGTACATATATTCACATTTATAACACACACTTATATATATCTGTGAAACCAAAGTACTGTACTGTATAATTTTCAGCGATACATATTTTGGAACTTTTATAAAGCACTTCAACTTGAACTAATACCCTAGTTTACTTATGGTATAATGGTGAATTAAACAATACACTAGAATGCAAAATTGTTGGTTTTGTGTTTCTAGAGAAGGTGGTACAGTATATCAATATATCACTTAAACATTTCTAGTTGGCCTAAAAAATTATAAATGTTTTAGTACTGTATGGCAATCAAAGAGATAAGTGTAAACATGCATCAATACACTTGTAGCAGAAAAGCACACCTTCTTCAAATGGTGTGTATGAAATCTTGTAAGTGCCATCTGTGAGTGGTCTCAGGAACGAATCTGTTCTAGTTCCAGAAGGATTCGTGATAACGCACATGACTTTCCCATCACCCTTATCACTGCCTTTCGTGTCTTTTCTAAGGTTAGCAAGAGCACGGGTGTCAACCACGAAGTCTGTCGGGGAGTCTACGAACACACCTGAAATGAGATGGGCCATTTGAAGGGTTTATTTGTATTCATTTTAAGACAACGGAGCAACTATAATCCCTTTGCTATTTGGACATACTGCAGCATGAATTTTTTTTAGACACAACTGTTCATGAGCAAATTTTCTTTTTTTAATTCTGATGTCATCTCATATAGAAGATCAACAAAAATATATTAATATGCAATGCAAAATATTAACCACATATGGGTTCATCACATATTGCATTAAACAGCAAAGATGTTAAATTTCCACATTACAGTAACACTAGATGAATCAAATTAATATTAATAAACAAATACCAAAACTATTAATACCCAAATAACAGGATAAATCATATTATTCAATCATGTGAATCACTGCATGAAAACATAACACTAGTAGCTACTTGTTAATTGAATAACAAAAACATGATTCAACACTCGTGTGAAAGTTGATAACGACAATGCACACAACACAGTCAATGAAGTAACCAAGTGACAACAAAACACACCACTTCCAGGTTATATTGTGGATGGTGACCTGACATGTCCATGGTGACACTCGTGATAATTCTCCATATTCAACCACACACAAAACATGCCACATTATTAACAAAAGTTTAACAAAATAAATTCATGGAAGAAAAATAATTAACTCTATAATACTGTAATTATTATTACTAATTTTGATCTTCATGCTGTGAAGTTAAAAATCTTCAACATAAAGCTTGCTACAGGTCCTACAACACTGAAACCACACAGGAGGCACGAAAGAGGGAGTACCATGGGGTTGGATGCCGTTGCCAGTGACTCTGATCTGTTTGAGGTCTTTGTCGTGGCCGATGAGAGCATGGAATGGAGAACCATGGATGTGTCGCTCGTTAAAGGTAATGTTGATGGTATAAGGTCCAGCTTCAGTAGGTAGATATGCCACAGCACACGTTCCATCGCCGTTGTCTCTGCAATTTATGGCTGCTTCGCAAGGGCCCTCCACTGTGACTCCAAGGCCACCCTGACCAGCTTCTCGGGTGTCTATGACAAACTCTGCCGGACGGCATACTATTCCCCCCTCAAGTCCTGGCCCCCATGCCCGGACTGCTGATGCATCACCCCCAGGTGTGCAGGTAAATCTGTATGGTGTCGAGCTGATGGGTTGACCGCCAAACTGGATGGACAGCAAATACTCTCCCAGTTCCGTTGGAGTGAAATTTACCAGGTAACCCTCATGCGTAGGCACGACATGAGCACGTACTCTCATACCAGAGGGTGATGTGATGGACACTGCGAAGTCTGCCCTTCCAGCATCTTGGGTGATGACTCGGAACTGCTGCAGAGAGTTGATGGGCGCCGCTGTTGTGGTGATCACCAAGTAAGCTCCACCAATCATACACACTTATAACATGCATTTATAAGCACAAAAGCGCAAAAAACATGGTGGGCACAAAAACATGAGCACAGGCTACTAGATTTTTACTACTTACAAACACTAGCAAGCAAAGTCCCTGTCAGCATGAATCTACTCAAGTGTACTCCAGTGCTAAAAACCAAATAGGTTCATAACACTAACTGGGCTGTCACATTGAATGACATAACCAGGACACAGGAAATAGGGAACACACACATTTATAAATTTAAGAAATAAGGGTAGTACAGTACAGTACAGTACATGTAAAAGCAAAGAATTTAAATTATATGTGAAGTGAGCAAATGGTTTTAATAACTGAGTAAAAACCGATTAATCTGTGTACAGAAGTTGGCTATTACACAGAATTGGGCTAGAGTAACGTAAGTACAGGTATGTTCTAATGAAGATCAACTATTTATTTATGAGGTGAATATATACTGTACACAAATTTGGTGTGAAAAAGTAGGTATTGCACATAAACGTTTCCATGTTTCTATGTATGAAGTTTGAGAAAGTATGAGATACCTGTACTTGAAGAGGAGTAGAGTGAGAGTTATACATCAGTGAGTACTTGCTACAAGTTGTAGCAACAACCCGAGTCTACAAACCGTAGCTACAAGCTGTGTCAACAAGCTGTAGCTACAAGCTGTGTCAACAAGCTGTAGCTACAAGCTGTGTCCACAAGCTGTAGCTACAAGATGTAGCAACAAGCTGTGTTCAAAAGCTGTAGCTACAAGCTGTGTCAACAAGCTGTAGCTACAAGCTGTGTCCACAAGCTGTAGCTACAAGCTGTGTCAACAAGCTGTAGCTACAAGCTGTGTCCACAAGCTGCAGCTACAAGCTGTGTCCACAAGCTGTAGCTACAAGCTGTGTCCACAAGCTGTAGCTACAAGCTGTGTCCACAAGCTGTAGCTACAAGCTGTGTCAACAAGCTGTAGCTACAAGCTGTGTCCACAAGCTGCAGCTACAAGCTGTGTCAACAAGCTGTAGCTACAAGCTGTGTCCACAAGCTGTAGCTACAAGCTGTGTCAACAAGCTGTAGCTACAATCTGTGTCCACAAGCTGTAGCTACAAGCTGTGTCAACAAGCTGTAGCTACAAGCTGTGTCAACAAGCTGTGTCAACAAGCTGTGTCCACAAGCTGTAGCTACAAGCAGTAGCAACAAGCTGTGTTCAAAAGCTGTAGCTACAAGCTGTGTCAACAAGCTGTAGCTACAAGCTGTGTCCACAAGCTGTAGCTACAAGCTGTGTCCACAAGCTGTAGCTACAAGCTATGTCAACAAACTGTAGCTACAAGCTGTGTCCACAAGCTGTAGCTACAAGCTGTGTCAACAAGCTGCAGCTACAAGCTGTGTCCACAAGCTGCAGCTACAAGCTGTGTCAACAAGCTGTAGCTACAAGCTGTGTCCACAAGCTGTAGCTACAAGCTGTGTCAACAAGCTGTAGCTACAAGCTGTGTCCACAAGCTGTAGCTACAAGCTGTGTCAACAAGCTGTAGCTAAAAGCTGTGTCCACAAGCTGCAGCTACAAGCTGTGTCAACAAGCTGTGTCCACAAGCTGCAGCTACAAGCTGTGTCAACAAGCTGTAGCTAAAAGCTGTGTCCACAAGCTGCAGCTACAAGCTGTGTCAACAAGCTGTAGCTACAAGCTGTGTCCACAAGCTGTAGCAACAAGCTGGGTCTACAAGCTGGCACTGATAGTGACTCCTCACTATGTCTTGGTAATGTTGTCAATAAGGTATATATGGCAGAGAAATATGGATGCCAGTAGAGTAACAGTAAGTGTGGACTCTAATGAGAAAAATGACATCCCATATCCCATATTACGTCAATATTCTCCAAAAGAGGATAAGTGAAATTGAATGTGCCTTGACAAACAAATGCGTTTACCATGAGCTTGTAATAATAAAATCCTATAAAAATATTTAGCCACTGTTATAATTAACTATTATCAGTTGTATATGGTCTAGCACCACACAAAACCCTAATTTACACCGTTATCATAATTTAGCTATTAATGATGACCAAACTATAATTCAGAAGATGGAGAAGCAACAACGTTTTTGTTTTCGAAACAACATTTTTGTTTTTAAAACAAAGTTTTTCTTTTCGAAACATCGTCGCTCCTCCATCTTCCAAGTTATGGTTTGGTCATCATTTCTTCAGCCACGTTATTGTGACTCATCCTCTGCACGTAGATATTAATATTTTATTCTCATTTTCAATATACACTCGACGGTGAAGTAAATCCTCTGATTAATACAACACGGTGTATTCATAAACCATTTTGTTAACTTTAATCAGTATACTGAACTGTATTTCAGGTGTGGTATTACAGTGCATGATAATGACATCATAGTGCATGACTAGTAATAATATAGTGTATGACTGGTGACATCATAGTGCATGATAGTGACATCATGGTGCATGACATGACATCATAGTACATGATAGTGACATCACAGTACATAACGCATAATATTACAGAGATCCACTCTATATGTCCACTGGTGACATCACAGTGGATGACAGAGACATCATAGTACATGACTCATGATATCACAGTAGGTGACTAGTGACATCACAGTGTATGACTAGTGAAATCAGTGCATGACTATTGACATCATAGTGCATGACTAGTGACATCACAAAGCATAACTAGTGACATCACAGTGTATGACTGGTGATATTACAGTACATAACTAGCAATATAGTAATACTGTACAGAACATAAGTTTTTGTAAACAACTGTGTCAAGACACACAGGTGTGCCATGACGGTTGGAACAAGTTAGGTGAGAAGGTGGTGGAGGCCAAAACTGTCAGTAGTTTCAAAGCGTTATATGACAAAGAGTGCTGGGAAGACGGGACACCACGAGCATAGCTCTCATCCTGTACATAGGTACAGGATGAGAGCTTTAGGTACAGCTTTAGGTACATAGTCGTGTCTACAGAAAATAAGACTGAGTCCTAGAGCACTGCCTCAAAACTATTGTATATCTGAACATATGAAGCTTCCAACTTTTAAGCTCATTCCAAGTGCTTACCACTCTCACTGCAAAACAAGTATTTTTTTATACTTCTATGTCATATATATGTTTCCAATTTCCTCCAGTGCCCTCTCATTGTAGTCACCTAATTGTGCTTGCAAAGGGTTGGGCTTCAGCTCTTTTGTCCCACCTCTCAACTGTCAATCAACTGGTGTACATACAGTGTACACCAGTCCTGAGTGTATTGTGTTCTATCTTATCTACATTTGAAACTGTGTATAGAGTTTGCCTTCACAACATCACTTCCTAATGCATTCCATCTGTTAACTCCTCTATGTTGTCATCACATTCTCTCTCTCTCTCTCTGTCTCTGTCTGTCTCTCTCTCTCTCTCTCTCTCTCTCTCTCTCTCTCTCTCTCTTCAGTTTTGTATCTGATCACTAAACCTGTCATTATTGCTTATTTCTCTTTTATCTGTTACCTGCCTTTTGGAAAATCTTTGGACTTATTGAATTTCTTGTGCTTTACCAGAAGATGTAAGCTCCATATTGGAGCTACATCAGCATGGCCTCATCTAACAAACTGCGTGTATTGTAAGCTATTCAAAGGATTCCTTGCTCAGGTTCTTCACACCAATATTTATGCACTCTCATTTCTTAATTAGAGTTAACTAAATAGCTCTTTATTTTCTCTGAACTATTTCTCAGAAAATGTTTAAATAAATTATTTGACTTTTCTGTCATTTATAACTATGTACAGTATATAAAATGTTTGCAATCAAAATTACTGCATTATCCTCCTTGAATGCTAAATTATAATAAATCAATATCTTTCATAGTAAAAATAGGTTGAGAAGTTCTACCATAATGTACATAAATATTGGCATAATAGCATGAGACCAGTGACATGACATGGTATAATGTACCAGTGACATGACATGGTATAATGTACCAGTGACATGACATGGTATAATGTACCAGTGACATGACATGGTATAATGTACCAGTGACATGACATGGTATAATGTACCAGTGACATGACATGGTATAATGTACCAGTGACATGACATGATAATGTACCAGTGATAATAATGTACCAGTGACATGACATGGTATAATGTACCAGTGACATGACATGGCATAATGTACCAGTGACCTGACATGGCATAATGTACCAGAGACATGACATGGTATAATGTACCAATGACATGACATGGCATAATGTACGTGACATGACATGGTATTATGTACCAGTGACATGGCATGGTATAATGTACCAGTGACATGACCTGACATGGTATAATGTACCCGTGACATGACATGACATGACATATGTACCATTGTCATGGTCAGGGAGCCTGTCAGACCTATCAGGGACCCCATAGTTAAGGTGAGGCACTATATACAGTCCTCTATCCCTCTACTCCACACAGTCAACACCCACTGACTGGGAGATGAGGACGCTATCCGCTCCTCCATGCCCAGTCACTAACGGCATCACACTTCTCTATATCGCCAGTTATATCACACTTCAATACACGACTGGTGACATTTCAATACAGTACATGACTGGTGATATCACAGTTCAGTACATGACCGGTGATATTACAGTTCAGGACATGATTGGTGACATCATTGTTCAGTACATGACTGGTGACATCATAGTTCAGTATATGACTGGTGGCATTTCAATACAGTACATGACTGGTGATATCACAGTTCAGTATATGACTGGTGATATCACAGTTCAGTACATGACTGGTGATATCACAGCTCAGTACATGACTGGTGACATCACAGTTCAGTATATGACTGGTGATATCACAGTTCAGTACATGACTGGTGATATCACAGTTCAGTACATGACTGGTGACATCACAGTTCAGTTCATGACTGGTGACATCACAGTTCAGTACATGACTGGTGACATCACAGTTCAGTACATGACTGGTGACATCAC